GGAGTTAATTTTGACAAATGTAACCACGTTTTTTATTATTATGTATGAATAATCATGAAAGGAACTGTCGATGTTATGAATTATGGATTATCATGGTGTTTATTTAATTATGTAAAAAATTATGGGTTTAAAGTTCAAAGAGTATTTACATATTTGATATTTTCGGTGCATGAGTCAGTAATATTAAACGGACATTAAATTGTAATTTTACTTGAAATACAAGAAAGCTTTATAAAATAATTCTCTATTAATGCAAATTATTATTGTATAGTGTCATTTTGTGTGTGTAAAAATTAAGTTATGCATGCTGTGTCTACATCTAGAAGGATGTGTTACTTAAATAGTTTGTTTTATGTGTATTAAGTTATGTACTATGTAAGACATCCAGTTTTGTAGACCTTATAAAAAAAAAAAAACGGTAGTGCGCGAATTAGCGCGGGAATGACAGCGCGCGATATAGCGCGGGAATGGTAGTGCGCGAATTAGCGCGGGAATGACAGCGCGCGATATAGCGCGGGAATGGTAGTGCGCGATTTAGCGCGGGAATGACAGCGCGCGATTTAGCGCGGGAATGACAGCGCGCGATATAGCGCGGGAATGGTAGTGCGCGATTTAGCGTGGGAATGACAGCGCGCGATTTAGAGCGGGAATGACAGCGCGCGATATAGCGCGGGAATGGTAGTGCGCGATTTAGCGTGGGAATGACAGCGCGCGATTTAGAGCGGGAATGACAGCGCGCGATATAGCGCGGGAATGGTAGTGCGCGATTTAGCGTGGGAATGACAGCGCGCGATTTAGCGGGGGAATGACAGCGCGCGATATAGCGCGGAAACGGTAGTGCGCGATTTAGCGCGGGAATGACAGCGTACGATTTAGCGCGGGAAAGATAGCGCCTGAAAGCCAGCACGCGATTTAGCGCGGGAAACCAGTGCGCGCGATCTTGAGGGATTGTATTGAGCAATTTTTTTGTATTCACTATTTCGCATTCGCCCCTCCGATCGATTTCCCGTCCAATTCAAACGGGGATCGAAATTACGACGGCCTGAGCCCAGGTTTGAATCCCTAGCGCTGCCTTGAGTCTGAAGTTGAATCCATCAGGCAGGAGTTGGCCTTCAGCCGCTCCATAAGTCCTTCCGCGTGTTTGAAGTGCCATCTGCACTCGTCCCCTGTCGAAGCCGTAAAGAACAGATGAAGAATAAACAGTAATTAATAAAATAATATAACTATCCAGAAGTGCTTATATTGAGTTTATTTGAATAAAGAATATTTCTATGTCTTCTAATTACATTAATTTCTAATTTGTCACGTCAAAACCTGTCACAGTGTCACAGATTATGCAAGGTGTCAATAAACATGCACAGATAACGTACAGACAGTTAAGTATGATAAATTATTCAAGTATGCATAAGTAGTAATAGCTAATTATCATTCAGCATAATGTATGACCACGAACATTTAGAACTTATGACAAAATGAAAGACAGGAACTATTGTTCTCATGAAATTTAGTGAGCGTATTGAGTAGGTCTGTGAATCAGCCAACCCAAATTTTTCACCCCCCTAAATGTTAGGGGTAGTCCACCCCTAATTTTTTTTTTAATTTTAAGGCAAAACAACGTTTGCCGGGACAGCTAGTTTTAAATAAAACTAGCTATTAACCACGACTTCGTCCCCGTGAAATTAATTTTCTCTTCCCTTCTTTTATTAAAGTTTCTAGAAAATCGTAGCCCTAGTTATTTTGTAACATAAGCTATCTGCGCGTTATAGTCCCGTTAAAATTGGTCGAGAGATGAGCAGGAACGAACAGACAAATAGACAAACAAAAATATATATATATATATTTTTTAAATGATGCACAGTAATAAAAATAATCTATATAAACAAATAAAATTTAATTGTCTGTTCGTAATTCCAAATTAACAGCTTTTTATTAAATGTATATAAAAGCATACATGGTACATACCTACATAAAAAAATACTGTAAAATGTTAGTCTATATATGTCTGAGTCTCTGTCTGTTTATTCTTGCCTGACTAAAGTGGCTGGATTGACATTGACAGAACTGTTACTTACAGATAGCTAATGTTATAAGAAGTAACTTAACTTAAGTAACGTAACCTATTATTATAGAAATTTTATTTATTATAATTTAAAAAAAAAGTTAAAATCAACGCTGATTTAGTCGATTATAACAGCTGTAATTGTAAATAACAATAAAACGCGTTTTGTAATCACTGCAATTAGAATTACACGACTTTACAAATCAATAATGTTTCTACATAAATTGATCAAGTTCGAAATTTCCGTATTCACTTGTAATATCGCTTTGAATTTATGCTCATTTTCCGGATCTAAAAAAAGACAATATATATGCAAGTAGCAATTGCGTATAGTTTTGTAATATTAGAATTAGTTTTTTTTAACAATACGTATACATTTTTTATGGCTGATAATGGAATGCTACACCGCCTGTGCTAACGGTTTACGCTGACGGGGCACCAGTGGAGGACGATAAGATGAGCATGAAGCCAGGTCAGTGAGCCCATCGTAGCAAATTCACCAGGATTTTATCACGATGGTATCCAGGGAAAACCGCGTGGAGATCTACCTAACATGATCATTGCTAACACAAGTCGCGGTTTGGTCGCCGAAGAGTCAACACTAGGCTTCCAAGCTATATACGAACTCTATTCAACGCCTGATGATGCCTTGTGCAGAGTCGAAATGTCGAATTTTGAGTGTAGACTCAATAAGGGTGGGAATTTGATCACCAATAGAGAAGGTCATAACGGTAGTCAAGTTTCCACATCGAATATTTCTGGTCTCACCCATGCTAATTGTAGCTGAATCAAAGGAAATAATATAAACCATCAAGGAGTAATTATGAAAGTGTTAATACGTAACAAACAGTCATAACCGCTGAACTAAAACACAAACCTCATGATTGCAACGTGGGCGTTAGTTTGTAAACCAAATATCTTGTAACCAAAATCTATTTGAACAGTTTCGCTTGAACTTTCACATAGAATTCAAATGAGTGGCCCAGGACCATTCAGAAGTTTAGAAACTTGGGGGAAAAGTGCTTTAGTAATATTTCTATTCCTTTGACCATTAGTGAGGTCATTAATTTTGTGTTCAGCATGTCTATTGTGATGGTCAAAACTGTCATCCTATGGAATACAAATTATCTGAATGCGACTGTATTAAAAACAAGTAGTAACTGTGTTTACGGGTTATGGTTTACGGCCACTGAGCAGACTATTTCCTGTTGACAAAATTACAATTGCATGTGCTGGTGATCGCTCTATTCTCCCAAATTTGAATTAAAAAAAACCTGTATTTCAGTAAACATGTACAAGATGATTTGAAAAGAATAAGAGCTGAGTTTCTTGTCAGTACTTCTTAGCTCAAAAGCACTTCGAACTGACGGTAGATTTGACATATCATAAGAGTCTGTAATAGACCTACATGAATAAATATATTTGACCAATTCAAACTCAACGATCCAAATTTCGATGATCTGAATCGAGGTTCGAACACCTAGCGGTGTCCTTAGACTACAGTCGTATCCGTCAGGCGGGAGTTGGCCTTCAGCCGCTCCATAAGTCCTTCCTTGGTTTGGAGTGCCATCTGCACTTGCTCTCTATCGACCGGTGAAGCTGTAAAGGCCAGCTGCGGCCACCATTAGAGTAGTCCGAAAAAAAACGGTACTAAAAGGTGGTTTATTTCGTCATATTTTTTACCGTTATCGAGTATTTTAAAAAAAGGCGTTTCTTAACTCTTTTTTTAATTCTTTCATCCTTTTCCTGTTAACTTGAATCGAAATTTCTTTCTGGATATTATTATTCATGTATTTGCGGACCTATTTTTATATATTCGCCAAAACTGGTCTCTTAATGGATTAATTCAATAAGTTATTGAACTATCTTATGTAGTTAAATATACTATTTTGCAATTGAAACGATATTATTGTCGAAATATACAATAAATTTGTCTACCGTTTTGTTGCGTGCATTACCACTATTTGTCGTTCCGGATTGCAACTAACCAACTAACATTTACTGTCTAATTACATTAATTACAGTCTCGTTAATGTGTTCATGTATATCGTAATTTACGTATTTGTTGCCGGTAAATAGTTTTTTTATATCGATTATATCGATACATATATAGCAACCCGCAACGACATCGCAATATTTGGAGTTCTTTTTTTATTAAAACTAAAATATCTTCTGAAGTGTTTTTTTAAATCAAAGAACAATTTTGTTTAAAATTGAATACTTATAATAAATAACATATTTATTTGGATAAGGATTAATATCATGTTTATAAAAACACTTTCGCGAATAATGCATTATTTTAGAAGAAATTTGATTATCAAGAAAAGGTTATTGTGACTTAACCTTAAAAGATAGACATGTGTAGTGCTGGTATTTTTCTGGCATTGAGTAAATAAAATTTGGTACACAGATCTAGACCCTAGTAAAGGACATAGGCTACTTTTTAATGCCAAAAAGGGTTATAAGGGGTTGAAAGGGCAAATTAAAATTTGTATGAGCGTCTTCATTTTTAAAGCTATGTAGATGCTTGAAACTTATTTTTTAGGCTATTTATTAATCTACATATAAATAAAATTGGAGTGTCTGTTTGTAATATTGAAATAACAGTTTTTTACTACATGCATATTAATATAAATACGGTACATACACCAAAATAACATTTTTATAATTTTTGTCAGTCTGTCTGTCTGTCTGTCTGTCTGTTTGTTCCGGCTAATCTCTGAAATGGCTGGACTGATTTTAACGGGACTTTTATTGGCAGGTAGCTGATGTAATAAGAAGTCACTTAGGCTATTTTTATTTTAGAAAAATAAAGTTAAACATTCAAAGTTAAATAAAGTAAATGAATAAATAACGCAAGGTCACCATTCCACGCGGACGAAGTCGCGGGCACAGCTAGTAAATAAATAAATGTGTAAAATGTGTATTTATATTTTTGCAGAATGTGGAGTTCCCTTGAGGAGGCACACGAGACAGCCCCGCGAGAGGTCAGCCAGCCAACTCCGCATCATCAGAGGCAGGGAGTCCAAGAGAGGAGCGTGGCCTTGGCAGGTACAATATTGTTTTTTATATCTATTATCATAGCTTACGCTAGATTGGGAAACTACATCAAACTGTACACTGATTAAGGTTTAAATAAATAAATAAATAAATAACTTCTTATTTTGTAATCAATACATTAATTTGTGAAGCAGAAACTTTGTGGCCCTTTTTAATTATTATAATAGTTCACGCTAGATTAGGAGACTGCATCAAACTGTACACTGATTAAGGTTTAAATAAATAAATAACTTCTTATTTTGTAATCAATACATTAATTTGTGAAGCAGAAACTTTGTGGCCCTTTTTAATTATTATAATAGTTCACGCTAGATTAGGAGACTGCATCAAACTGTACACTGATTAAGGTTTAAATAAATGAATAAATAACTTCTTATTTTGTAATTATTTATATATTAATTTAGGAAGCAAAAACTTTGCACCCTTTTTTAAGAAAATCTACTAAAAACAATTGATTGTGCCATGCTAAGAATCAAAATTGCCACCTGGAAGTAATGAGGTGTGTTAGACCATCGAGGTCGTCATTTAAGAATGTTTACTTTTAACTGTCTTTTATTGTATGTACTTTGCAGGTATCTCTACAGCTGCTTCATCCGAATTATGGGCTTATTGGCCACTGGTGCGGCGGAGTGCTTGTACATCCTCTATGGCTCCTGACTACTGCACACTGTATTCATAAGTAAGTGCTTTACGTATTTTATATATGGTTTAATTTGCAATAATTCTGACAGTCCCCCTTCCGATCGATCCTCCGTCCAAATCAAATGGGGATTGAAATTACGATGACCTGCGATCTCTAGCGGTGACTTCAGACTATAGTCGTATCCGTCAGGCGCGAGTTTGCCTTCAGCGACTTCATAAGTCCTTCCATGGGTTTGCAATGCCATCTGCCCTTGCCTCTTATCGTTCGGCTTCGGACTATTGCACCCTGCATTCATAAGCAAACACTCTTCTTTTTTTATATAACTTGATTGGTAAATATGCTGACGATTCCTATTTCTGATCGATCCCCCGTCCAATTCAAACGGGGATCGATATTACGACGGCCTGAGCCGAGTTTCAAGTTCTTAGCCGAGGCCTCAGCCTAAAGTCGTATCCGTTAGTGGGGAGTTGGCCTTCAGCCGCTCCATTAGTCCTTCTGCGGATTTAGTGACATCTGCACTCGTTCGGAGAAGCTGTAAACGCCGTTTTTAGTGTACAATAATTTGAAGTAGACATTATTTAACCCCTAGATTTTTTTTCAATTAAAGTGCCCACGGGTGATCACCCAGTCCCAACGTGTAAATTTACTTTGGTTGCGGAGTGACCCACCGTTGGGCATGCGGTCTTTAACGTGTTAAGTAATCGTTTAGTGAGTGATAGACAATTTCACAACATATACATAGAAATCACTGCATTCATTAAGACTTGTTGGACTTTTAACATAGTGTTTCAGTACGTACATATTTTCTTGTCTTGAATTCCAGTGAGCTCTTCAACTTGCCAGTACCAGCGCTGTGGACGGCGGTTCTTGGAGAATGGGATCGTGCTGAACAGAAGGGGGCCTACGTACCAATTGAGAGGATAGTGTTGCATCACCGGTTCCATAATTATCAACACGATATTGGTTCGTAATCTATCTATCTATAATTGTCGTAGACAATACGATACTGGTTGAGATAATGTTGGTTTTTTTTAACGGATGACATTGGAATTTTGCACTCGCCTTCGCTGATGGTATACTCTGGCGGGGCACCAGTGGAGGATGATAGGATGAACATGAAGTCAGGTCAGTTAGCCCACAGCCCACTTAGTGATAAATTTTCCAAGAATTTATCACGATGGTTTCCAGGGGGAACCGCGTGGAGGTCAACCTGACCTTATTGGTAACAATGTACCATACATTGCTAGCAATAATTTTTTTAAGTATTACGTATAGGTTATATAGGTTATATAGGTAATTCTTAAAAAATTAAAGATACCTAATATGATATCATTTTCTTTAGGTAATAAGCTACTTTGAAGTTCTATTTTCTATAATATTGCATTACTATTATAATAGAACCTCAATGTGGAATAGGTTTAAATATTTTTAATCAGTTTTATTTAATAGACTATAACTTCTAGTTAATGGTATTCAAAGTAAATCGACAAACAGATAACATTTTCTGTTTCAGCTCTGATGAAGATGACAAAAGCAGCCGACGTTAGTCCCGGCAGTAGAATACGCACGATCTGCCTACCTCCATTCGATCCACCAATCGTCAACTTCGAAACAGAGAAGATCACGTCATTCTATCTACGACCACAATCGAATGTCGAACCACCAAAGCGGAAACCAGCAAAGCCACCAAAACCAAATCCGGACACTGCTATGAAATATTTAGAGAAACTTAACAATTTAACTAAGAACATATTCTCAGGATTCACGAATAAGAAACATAAAAATTATAGATACAACATAAGAATAGCAAACGACTCAAACCGACAAAGTGATAGGAAGAATGTAGAAGACGCGTATAGAAATAATGATAATGGACAAAGTGATACAGTTTATGATAGTGCAACATTGGACAGTGTTATCAAACTTATAAAAACTAAAATAGACAAAGGAAAACATAGTGTTAATGTTAATGATAGAAGTGATAAGAAACTAATGTTCGGTGAAGAAATAGATCCTTTTATTGGTGATTATAATAGTATAGACTTTAGAGATGAGTGTTACGCGACTGGTTGGGGGAGAGAACAAACTAACGGGACGCTTACTGATGTATTGTTAGAAGCTGAAGTGCCAATATTACCATTAAAAATATGTAGAGACAGATACGCATTGTCTCTGCCATTGAATGAAGGGCATTTATGCGCCGGTAGCACGGATGGTAGCACTGGTGCTTGTGTGGTAAGTGTCAAAAACTGTAATAGAGTAGTGTTATATATAGAAACTAGCTTTTGCACGCGGCTTCGCTCGCGTTAATTTATCCCCTTAGGGATGGAATTTATCAAAATCATTTCTTAGACGATGCCTACGTTATAGTAGCTTTATGCATGCAAAGTCTCAGCCCGATCGGTTTAAAATTGACAAAGTTTCATACAAACTTTCATCCCCAATTTTATCCCCTTGGGGGTAGAATTAATCAAATCCATTCTTAGCGGATGCCTACATCATAACATCTACCTGCATGCCAAATTTCAGCCCGATCCGTCCAGTGGTTTGGGCTGTGCGTTGATAGATCACTACGTCAGTCATCTTTGAGTTACATATAAATATATGTAGCTCAAAGATGACTCAAATATATTATTAACAATAACTCAGGACTAGTATACTCTAGATCTAGTTCCAAGCTAAGCAGATCATGTGTTAGGGGTACCAGACAACTGATATACATATGTAGTACATAACCAATTTTTTTAGTACATACATAATATACACAGAAAACTTTCAGACCGATACAAATAATCAAATATTCATTAATACAAAGATTTCTACCGTATCAGGAATCGAACCAACGAAGCCGCATAATGTACGTGTACTAGTATTTAAAAAAAGTGATAGCTTGGAAAAATTACATTCCTCTAGTTACGTTACGTTACATTACGCATATTCTATTTCCTTTTTTCTTTTGCAGGGTGATAGCGGTGGCCCACTCCAATGTAGAACTGGAGGACGTTGGGAGCTTCGAGGACTGACCTCGTTCGGGTCAGGCTGTGCGCGTCGAGGAGTACCAGACGTGTACACTAATGTTGGACATTATGTATCTTGGATATATACACATGTATATGCTACATAGTCTATTTTAAATATACTCTACTTATCTACTTAGAGCTCTAACTTTTATTTAGATTCTAAGTACAAGCGAGAGTTCTTTCACAACTCCTTAATTTCTCGACTAAGTCAGACTTTGTGTCTTGGTTATATGCACGGGTATACTCCAAAGTCCGATTTCAAGATACACTACTTATCTACTTAGAGGTCTTACTTTTATTTAGATACTAAGTAAAAGCGAGAGCTCTTAGCGTTGGACACTGTGTCAAGGTTATATGCACATGTATAAGTACTCTAAGTACATAACTAGAGTTCTTGCTTTTATTTAGATTGTAAGTATTAACGAGAGTTCTACATGACATTTTGTCCAATTGTCCATGCTGCATGGTCTTTACTTCACTCACCTATTTGGATCTCTCGCTTTTACTTAGAATTTAAGTTAAAGCATATGCTACATAGTTCAAAAGCGAGACTTAATTTAGAATCTAAGTAAAAGGATAATTTTACTTAGATTCTAAATAAAAGCGAGAGCTATCTTTAAATTGGACTATGTTAAATTGGCCTACGTTTCTGACTAACTTTCCAATGATGGAAACATCTATAAAAACAAAATTTTGAGGGCCTCTGCCATGATGAATTAATATATTAAAGATTGAGATTTGAGTTTACCACGAAGTCAACAGTTTTACAACACTTCTGGCTACGCTATCTAAAAATATAGGCGTGAAGGTACATTTATTATATTTTTATTCTAAACTGAATATTGAAAATGGCCAGTTCACTAGATCTACATAGGTCTAATTATATATTTTTAAACGGTTTCTTTTATGGAACAAGCTTTATGTTACCAGTTATTATTATAATGATAAGATTAAGAAATATAACTAGCTGTTTTAGCTGTTTTTACACGTGCGCACGAAAGAATGCGCATGTAAATGTAGACAAACAAAATTTACTAATATATAAGGAGTACCACTGTCTAAATGGCAGTGTCATTTTTTTTTATTTAATATTTTACGGCTCTGGATACAAGTCCTTTTTAGCCCAACATAAAATACATAAACTTAAAAAAATATATAATTTCTTCCCAGTGTTGGAAATAAATTTATATAAAATAGTTGGCAGTGTTACCATAACGATTCCTATTAAAAGTTCTAAAGGCATGTGTTGCAAACTCTTTGCACATTTTTATATATTTATTTTTCTATCAATTTTAAATGTATTTTCTTTTAGAATTGTCATATATTTTTATCGTCACTTTTTGCCTACAACCGTTTGTACACGTTGTATCTTCATTATAAGTATTTACCATTTTCTATCCATTGTTGGATTTACATCACACATACAGTCCACTCTTTCTATCACCTACAGCACAGTCACGTTTTCCCACAGCCATGCATACTCCAGTAGTTAAACTATGACAGTTGTGTAAACCAACTTCATATCTTAATGATAGATAATAAATACCATTAGTTAATTAAATTCTAATTATATAAATGTAAATTAATTATAAAATTAATGCAATATTTATTTTCTTGAGATTGTTTTGTAAATATTAAGTCTAGTCTCTTGATATTAGTAATTTATATTTGAAATAATATTATTTTTAGTTAAATAAATTATATTTAATTTATTATAATTCTACGTTAGGTTATTATTGTAAATTTTATTCCATGACCACTCAAAGATCTGTGATTAATAAATGTATTTTGTAAATATATTAATATAATTGTATTGCATTGAAATCTATTTGTTTTAATTTCTTCACCTTCAAAGGATCTGATTATATTATAGTGATACCACGTGTTGGCGACCGACCGCTGAACTCTTTTGATATTTTTATTATTTTTGAAGAGTTCATTTTTATATGTCATGTTATTTGATATACTTTATTGTATTATTCTCTTATTGTCTTTTGGATGGTTCACAATTGCATTCTAATATATTTTACTATCATATTCTATACGTGTTTTCATCATTTAAAAACTCATGCAGTCCACCGATCCATTACACCACGAACTACAAGTGTAATGTTGCCGGCAACAAGAAATTACAGTATAATTTTATATTATACCTATTTAGTAATATTTTATTTATACAAATAAACAAATATAAGTGTAAATGAAGATAAAATAGGTCTCAAGATGTTTTTATGAAAAAAACCCAAGAATAGTCCCAGAAAAACTCACACAACGCCATCTTATCCCAAGCTAAGCAAAGTTTGTGTTATGGGTACTATACAGATGATATAAATACTTAAAAACATTTCTTTTTTGTAAATATATACACTCAGAGCAATACCAATGATACTCATGAATGCAAATATTTGTACTGTGTGAGGTATCGAATCCACGACCATAGTGATTAAGACGTCTGGTCGGACGGACGGTTGGCCGTTTCTATGAATTTATATTTGAATAACGAAATAAAAAGAAAACCAACTTCCGTATATTTTGTTTATTGCATTAACGATCAGTTGTATAAAAATAGAAATACAATTTTGTTTAATAATATATAAGAATTTGTACAATAAAAAATATTAGGTACATACAAAACATACCACAAAAGAACCTAAGTGGTTTTAAAATTACTTATTTATAAAATGTGGATAAGGGGAATGATAAGAAATATATAAAACATTGAACTAATGAACATATATATATGTATATGTATCATATGTTAATCATATATTTATTACATTAATTAAAAAATATATATAATTTTAAAATCAGTTGACTGACAAATATACTATATGTTTCGCCCATAAATCTACCTAAATAAATAAAAATAACTCCATATTATAATATTTAAAAATAAATACTAAAATATGTAACTATAATTTTTATAACAATTTCTATTACCATAATTTACCTATTTACAACTATTATTTACATTATTTACCTCCTATCAGACATATTACCTTTTTAATCCGTAATTGAGCAATGTTATATACTAAACTTACAAATTAAATAGTTAATTACTTAATTTTTCTACAACAAAATTGAGCAATAAGTATTATACATTTATTATTAATTTATTATTTATTAATATTAAATTATGGATATATTTAATGTAAATACCATCCACCTGAAATTAAAATACCTATAATTTATTACAATTTATTACATTATCATTTACTTTGTCATTTTCATCACTTATTTATAATACAAATAGTTTTTCATCTAGCTTTATGAACTGTTATTTACTAAGTGCATTTTACCGTTTTGTTTATACATTTAATGACTCAAATCCACTTAAATTCGATTAATTTGATTAAATAATCATATGGATGAATAATTAAACCGTTAGTAATTAACTAGTTCAATATATGGATAAATAAACTTTACAGCATTGGTTTTATATGCTATTATTAAATAAATACGAAATATATGAAGGTTTGTTATTTAAATTTATGAAATACTAGCTGTCCCGGCAAACGTTGCATTGCCTTAAAATAAAATAAAAAAATTAGGGGTGGACTACCCCTAACATTTAGGGATGAAAATAGATGTTGGCCGATTCTCAGACCTACTCAATACGTTCACAACATTTCATGAGAATCGGTCAAGCCGTTTCGGAGGAGTATGGGAACGAAAACTGTGACACGAGAATTTTATATATAAGATATAGTATATCAACAAGTGTAAATAAGGTTTTGTGTCTACTATATATATAGATATATATACTGATATATATACTATATTAATATTTCATAAATTCAAACACACTCATAATTCATATATATTAAATTGGAAATAATTTAATTTTGTACTATTACAATAATATGTTTCTATTATTCAGCTACATAAATTTCATTATAAGTTTTAGTAGTCTTCATTACTTATATATCTAGTACCTAAATTCATTATTTATCCGATATATGTATATACAACAACATATATATTTGGAATTGGCAAGTCTCAGATGTAATTCTATCACTAAATATTACATATATACTAATGTACATATACATAATATACATAACATACAGAATTTAGAAAATCAACTATTATATTGAAATTGTTAGCGTCGATTTTCTTTAATATTACAGTTGATTTTCTAAATTCTGTCATTTTTGAGTTAATGTATTATGAAATTAGATTTCCTTCGCCGGTTTTAAAATATTAGTATATATGTAATCTTAGTGATAGAGGCATATCTCTGATGGTTTTATGACTAAAATAACAAAATAACGATATATTCGTCGTGAGATCAATTTATCTCTACGAATGGTAAACATCATTTACCATTCATCCCTAGAGATATAAGACCAATATATCAGGGCTATCAGGGGTTGCAGTACATTCCCTGACACATTGTTATTTAATTTGTTCGATGAAATAGATTTTATCACGCTTACCACAGCAGTAACAGATGATTTTAACATCAACCAATGTCATTATTATAGCATATTGTGGTGGTCACCCTATTCTCCCAAATTTGAATTTAAAAATGAATCTGTATCATTGTAAACATGTACAACATTTATTTGAAAAGAATACGAGCTGAGTTTCTTGTCAGTTCTCATCTCGAAATCATTCCGAACTAACGGTAGATTTGACATATCATAAGTCTGTAATAAACCTACATGAATAAACATATTTTGAATCTGAATTTCGGTTTTATCACGAATTATTTTGTCACCTATCTACATTGACATCGCTGTTACTCCAGTCAGTTCGTGACCACGGCTAGTGCAACCTAGTCGAAACGTCGAGAGAGGTAAATACCTTTATTTACCATAAAATTATTCATGTTAAATACTGTTTAACTATATTAATAAACTGTATTCAACGCGAAAGTTTAAAAATAAATATTGCAAATCAACTGAGGTCGTATATATTAATTTAATATTACCTAATAATCTACTAATGTTATGATAAAAAATCTCAGAACAATAACTGTGCTATTAAATTTAATAATTATCATTAATTATCACTTCATTGCTTATTAAATCTATACATATAAATAAAATTGGAGTGTCTGTTTGTAATATTGAAACAATCGTTTTTTACTGCATGCATATGAAAATAAATACGTTAAGTACACCAAAATAACATTACTTACAATTTTTGTCTCTCTGTCTGTCTGTTTGTTCCGATTAATCTCTGAAATGGCTGGACCGATTTTGACGGGACTTTTTTTGGCAGGTAGCTGATGTCATAAGAAGTAACTTAGGCTACTTTTATTTTAGAAAAATAAAGTTAAATTCCACGCGGACAAAGTCGCAGGTACAGCTAGTAAATAATGTAATCGACACAGTAGCTGTCACGAAATCGTTATACAGTTATCATATCGTATACTCGAGGATTCCTCATTAATTATATATATTTTGTAATACATACCGAGGAATTTAAAATAGAAATAATCAATATGACGTGACCTAATCGTAGTATTGATTATCATACTGTAATCAAGCATTTCGAAAATACATCTAATCGTATTTATTTAATAAAAAATAATGTTTATTTTTGTAATCACGATAATTATGGCCGGAAATTGAAATTGTTCATTGATTTTTGTCATGAACAATAATAATATGAATTGATATTGTAAATATTAATAAATATTGTTAAGTTATACCGTAAAATTGCGATAGCAGTGCTAATATCTCTTTATATAATATATCTAAACTAGTTATTCCCGCGACTTTGTCCGCGTGGTATTTAACTTTATTTTTCTAAAATAAAAGTATTCTAAGTTACTCCTTATTACATCAGCTACCTGCCAAAAAAGTCCCATCAAAATCGGTCCAGCCATTTCAGAGATTAGCCGGAACAATCAGACAGACAAAAAATGTAAAAAATGTTATGTACCGTATTTATATTCATATGCATGTAGTAAAAACGGTTATTTCAATATTACAAACAGACACTCAAATACTATTTATATGTATAGATGTTAATGTTTTCATATAATTCAACATGGCTGCAGTGAAATGCCTAAACTAATTTCATAATCAAGTACAAAGTACAAATAAAAATAAATAAACAATAAATAAAACACTAATAAGTAGATCATCAAATTTGTTTGTTGTACTGATAATTGTAAACGTCGTAAACAAATCGACAAACGATGAACTTTAATTAAAATAATCAGTAGTTGTTGATTAACTCAACTGATTTGTGATAAATTCTTGATGATGTAAAGTGATTACTTTTAAGTATAACTTACTGACGGTGAATATTACTGATTGTGATGGAATAATTGCAATATGGTACAAATTACCACTGTTTATTTTGCTAAAATAAATAAATCAGTAGATAGAATGTGAGGTCGGCATATTAAAAATGTATGATATTTGCTATAGTTTTCGTTTTTGTAGAAATTCAATTACAATTTCGTAATAACGTATTTATCATTTGTTTCATGAGCTATGGAATATATTCATCTACTACAATATTTATTCATACACTAGGTTCCTTATGTGGTAGACTGAGAGAACCAATTACCATTCGCTTCTATTCTTACATACGTTTCTTCATTCATCTACTTTCATAATTCGTCTCGCATGTTCTCGGCGGTTCCGAGACTTCTGACTTCTCTATCAGATTAAATACGATTTATCTGATCATCAGAGCCTCTGACCTGATCACCTAGCCCTCCACCTGTATTGACATCCACCTGCGTTTGCATTTCACCTACACCTATGTCTGGATCGTCAATCGTTTTGTCTGCATCATGCTCGAGCCAACGTAGCATGAATAAATTTTAACTTCCTACTTAATCAGTTTTAATATTCACTAAACGCAAATATTGTCATGTTCTTACCTCACCTTTGACATGTTTGATTTAAGAAATGTTGACGTCATTGGTATTATATCATTAAAAAGGGCACACAATATCGTGAATTGCGATTGTTTAACAATTATGAATATAATTATGTTATTCTCTGGTTCTACCAACCAGCTGTGCTTACATGGCTGTATTTCAGTTTGAAGGTAAAAGAAAAAATAATTGCTAACTAGATTTTAGAAGGGTCTGTTATAGTTAATGCAGTAGATATGAGAATTAGTCCGACAAATTTGTCAGATCATCTAAATAGTAACATGTCCCAAATATCTTACTTATCAAGTAACTTATCTATTTAACATATACATTTACAGACTCCTCCTTCATTGCATATTATAATTTCTCGTGTAACTTCTTCAATTGAATAAGTGAGAACATATAGAAAAAATCAATTTAAACGTTGTTTTCTTTTAACTCCATAATCATTCAATCGGGCAATTCATTTGATAAAAACTTAATGCCTTGATTACCAAATGTTTCGTCTTTATAAATAATGTTATCACTTCTATAAATAATACTATTTTTGTGGTCTATGTCCCTTATTTCATTCTTAGGCTCCACAAGTTTGTAGCGAGGCTTGTAGATCCTGTAGAAGCTGTGGATTCCGAGGACAGCTCCCAAGATGAGCAGCACAATTTCTATTGTGATTATTAAAGGTGGGCCAATCCTCAAGCGTAAGTTTAACAGTGTTAAGATATACGGTGGAGGTGAATTGCATGTCTGTAAAAAATTATGGGGTAAATTGTAGGTTGATTCCAGGGTTGTAGACTATTGTCACTGGGGAAAGGGGATTGTTAGTCATCATCATCATCATCGCAGCCCGGAAGACGTCCACTGCTGGACATAGGCCTCCCCCAAAGATCTCCACGACAATCGGTCCTGCGCTGCTCGCATCCAATGCCTTCCAGCGATCTTGACCAGATCGTCGGTCCACCTTGCTGGAGGCCTTCCCACGCTAGGGGATTGTTAGTAATGTGGACTAATAACCAGATGCTAGCAATGTACTATGTTAGGTTGACTTCCACGCAGTCCCCCCTGGAAATCAATATCATAAATTCTATCTATAATTGACCTGACTTCATGCTCATCTTATCATCCTCAATAAATCATTAGCGCAGGCCATTATTACTCATAAAAAATATTGCCACTCGCAAATATTCATTATGGCCAGTAGAATCGAGAAGTTATTTTGTTTTAGAGATTGTCACATGCAGACTTATCTCAACAAAACTTTAGAGAGTTGCTCCTTAGAACTATAATAGTTAGCTCAAGGCAGGCAATATTAGTTTATAATTACTTGGCAGAGAGTTAATTTGCAAGTTTTCTTTTATAATTACAGCATTATCAGTACTTGCATGCTATTTTTAAAATATTATTCAAAACACAGCAGAATTAAACAAATTAACAGTAATGCATTAAATAAAGAGAGCTTTTTGTCTTAATACACTTGGACCTACTTCCTCATTGCGGAAAATCAGTTAAAAGTTTGACTACCAAGTATAAACAGGAAATGTAGTAAATATAAATACACAAAGAGGTGGGAAGTTATTAGTAATTTGTTAGTAATGTGGATTGATCACCCCATTGCTAGCAATGTACCTTGTCAGGTCGAGCTTCACGCGGTTCCCCCTGGAAACCATCATGTTAAATTCCTGGTGAATTTGTCACGATGGGCTAACTGACCTGACCTCATGCTCATCTTATCATCCTCCACTGGTGCCCCGCCAGCGTAAACCGTTAGCGCAGGCGGGTGCACCATTCCATTATCATCCACAAAAATACACAAGGAATCTCTTGAGATATCTAGTTTAAAAGGAAAGAAGAAATAGATATTACTTACAATTGATAACCAAAGTATAGGTAGGATTTTGTTTTCTACCGGCCGAGTTATGGGATTGCCATTTGACATTCTGACGGCCATGTTCACTTGGAAATTCATTTTCAAAGACAACGGAATGCCAATTGTCTGAAAATTAATAACAACAAATAAAGTGATTATAAAACTAAAGTTCATGCATCTTATTTAACTTATATAACTGTGACACGAGAATTTTATATATAAGATAATAAAATCTTATATATAAAATTCTCGTGTCACAGTTTTCGTTCCCATACTCCTCCGAAACGGCTTGACTGATTCTCATGAAATTTTGTGAGCGTATTGAGTAGGTCTGAGAATCGGCCAACATCTATTTTTCATCCCCCTAAATGTTAGGGGTAGTCCACGCCTAAATTTTTTTTTTAGACATAATTTTTAGTTTCTATTTTTTTATGATACAACATACAAAAATACATACAATCCTAAATTTTCACCCTTCTATCATCAACCCCTATTTTTTTATAGCGTTATTAATTTATATGGCAAAACAACGTTTGCCGTGACAGCTAGTCTTGTATATAAAATTCTCGTGTCACAATGTTAGTTACCATACTCCTCCGAAACGCCTTAACTGATTTTTATGAAATTTTATATGCATATTCAGTAGGCCTGAGAATCGGCTGTTATCTGTTTTTCATATCTCTAAGTGTTTGGACAACCCTAACATTTTCCTTTCAATTTCTTGGTAATTTTTTTATATATTATATATTTAAAAAAAAAATTTAAACCCTAAATATTCACCTTTCTACCACCGACCCCCATTTTTTAATTTAAATGATAAAACAACGTTTGCGGCGTCAGCTATTTTGATTGATTGATTGCATTATACGATTATAAATCAAATATCTTTATTAATGTCTAGGACCGACACATATGATAACTCAAATCTATTGTCAGTTCAATGAATGTAGTTCACCTAAAAGAAACTTTGCCCCCACTTTTCAAGGGGGTAAATGGGTTTTAAAATTTCGAAAAATCGATTTGTTTTCGTTTTATTACATAGTATAATATGTTAAATATATTCTCTCAAAATTTCAAATCGATCCGAGTAAAATTCTAAGAGATAGACCCTTCGGAAGTTCCGCCCATCGTGCCACGGCTCAAATACTAAATTAAACCAAACACTCATTAAATACTCCTTGCCGAAAAAAAAGCTGAGACTAATTCGTCACCAACAAGACAAAAGGGTGCCCTAGACATTGCCGCAGTAGCGGGTACTCTACTTTATGATGCTGGAATCGAAGATTCCTACATGGCATCTTCAATTCCAGCACCATAAAGTAAGTTTAAAAAATAAAATTGCATTAAATTTCAACTTAACCCTTTAAACGCGTTTTTCCCAATACTTAATTTTTTAAGTCGGTGGACGCGATTTCTCGAAAAGTTATGGACCGATTTGGACCGACTAAAAGAAACATTGCCCCCACTTTTCAAATCATATTTAAATGATTAAAATTATATTGAAATTTCGGGTAAATACATTAACCGCCAGCATATGCACTTAAATTGTTATTTTTTATTTAATCATCATCATTGCATTCAACCTTATTACTGAATGTAACTTAATAACATTAGAGACTAATTGATCCATCATACTCGTGAACGAGTGCTGCTTGTTTTTAATCTGCTCTAATCACTACGACCGATACCAGTTAGTTGTATATTTAATATTCTCTCTATTTGATTATTTTATTTAATCAATTTACACTTTTAAACGACCCCTAACAAAATGCCTTTTGCAGGTATAAAAATCAATCAATATTTCAATAAATGATTATCTATTCTATTCTATTGTTGATAACTTACTGGTTCCATCTCCATAAACGAATTGTGCAACTCAGGATTTGGGTGTAATCCTTCAAAATGTTTTATTTGTGACGGGTCTGCATCGAGGAAATGTACCTTGGATAAGACGATAGGAAAACCTAAAACATACAAAAAAATATTCATACAATATATAATAGCATCAAATAAACAAAGAAAATTCATCCCATCATCATCATCATCATCTGCTTCTTCCTTATCCCATTTATTTGTGGTCGGCGTAATATATTTTTCTCTTCCATTCATCCCTGTTCACAGTCATCTCGTTATTTACTTCCTTTCTTACCATATCACCTCCCACACAGTCCATCCATCTCTTTTTCGGCCTTCCTCTGCCTTTATAACCATCCACATTCATATGTAACGCCTTAAAAGAAGATTTCATCCCATTGTGTGGAATTTGGATAACATTATTGTATTCTAAATGCACGATCTTCTTAGATATTTTACAATCTTTTCGTACCTAGATTTTTTACAACGATTCTCTATATGTTTTTTTTTTGTTTGGAAACTGTGTTTATTATATATGCCTATTGATGTATGATTTAAATCTATACATATAAATAAAATTGGAGTGTCTGTTTGTAATATTGAAATAACCGTTTTTTACTACATGCATATGAATATATATACGGTACGTATACCAAAATAACACTGTCTGTCGGTCTGTTTGTTCCGGCTAATCTCTGAAATGGCTGGACCGATTTTCACGGGACTTTTTCTGGCAGTAGCTGATGTAATAAGGAGTAACTTAGGCTTCAATACCACTCCTATGTAAATGACACATTCCAGTCTTATTAGTGGATACTAAGTCGTGGCAGCTTACACAGACAGCTTAGCTTAGTTACTTACAGTACAGCTAGAAAATAATATAATAAGAGACCAAAGAAGCTGACGGTCAAGCTAATGGAAATAAAACTAAATACATAAAAACTCAGAGGCGTTTTTTAAAATTAAGTTAAATTCCACGCGGGCGAAGTCGTGAAACAGCTAGTATTATATAAGATGTGACGTAAACCAACTACAACCTACGTCTTTGAAGTAGTTAAAAAAATTACAGTTATTATTGTAAGGTTTGACGTTGTATATAAACCCCCTAGATGGATAGGATAGGGCTGGGTGTTTTCAATGTATAATATGTATTTATGTCTAGTACCCATAACACAAGCTCTGCTTAGCTTGGAACTAGATGGCGCTGTGTGAATCCTTACATCTTATGTATAAAATTTTCGTGTCACAGTTTTCGTTCCCATACTCCTCCGAAACGGCTTGACCGATTCTCATGAAATTTTGTGAGCGTATTGAGTAGGTCTGAGAATCAGCCAACATCTATTTTTCATCCCCCTAACTGTTAGGGGTAGTCCACCCCTAAATTTTTTTTTATTTTAAGGCAAAACAACGTTTGCCGGGACAGCTAGTATATTATAAATGCGAAAGTAACTCTGTCTGTCTGTCTCGCTTTCACGCTGAAACCACTCAACCAATTTAAATTAAATTTGGTACACAGAAAGTCTAGACCTTGACAAAGGACATAGGCTACTTTATAATGCAAAAAAAGGGTTGTAAGGGGTTGAAAGGGGATGAAAGGTTATATGGAAGTATCGTCATTTTACGCGGACGAAGTCGAGGAACAGCTAGCATTATATAAGATGTGACGTAAACCAAATTACTACGTCTTTGAAGAAGTAAAAAAAATTACCGTTATTATTGTAAAGATTGACGTTGTATATAGATATATACTGCATATTTATAATGATCGATTACCATTTTTATAGGGTTGGTTTTTATTTTTTTATTGGGGGGGTTTAGCCTTATGTCTAGGTGCTTGGACATGTAGCACTGCGACCTATATATATTATATTGTACTTGTCCCTTTTGAGAGTCCGCTACCTAGATCCGTCAGGGATAGGAATTGAAGGATATTCTTAGGTGCGATGGTTTTTATCTATTGACGACCTCGGTGGTCTAGCGGTCTAACACACCGCTTTACGTCCGATGGTCGCGGGTTCGATTCCTCGCACGGCACAAACATTTGTATTCATGAGTATGATTGTTTGTGTCGGTCTGGGTGTTTTCTATGTATATTAAGTATGTATTTACGAAAAAAAAATATCTATGTATTTGTATCAGTTATCTAGTACCCATAACACAAGCTTTAGCTAGCTTAACTTAGGTCTAGATGGCGCTGTGTGAATTGTCCTGAGATTATTATTATTATTATTATTATTATTATCTCCTCAGGATGGAGTGTATATTTTCCAAAAACGTTTATGCATAAGTGCTACAACCACATAGGATGTGTAGTGGCGTTTCCTCTTCTGTTTGGCAAAGGGTTGGTGTTGTATGCAATATAGTGACCGTTTAGGAAATATTTATCAACTACACTCCAATATTTTCGAATTATTCTAATGCTGCTGGCCGCAGCTGGCCTTTACAGCTTCACCGGATGATAGGGGGCGAGTGCAGATGGCACTCCAAACCAAGGAAGGACTTATCGAGCGGCTGAAGGCCAACTCCTGATACACAGAAACTCTAGACCTTGACAAAGGACATAGGCTACTTTATAATGCGAAAAAAGGGTTGTAAGGGGTTGAAAGAGGATGAAAGGTTATATGGAAGTATCGTCATTTTACGCGGACGAAATCTAGAGCACAGCTAGTTATAAATAAAGAGGATTATTGAATACATACCATAGTAACAGTTTCCTATGTCGACAAATCCATTCGGTAAACAGTTGTAATCACATTCGCATGCATATTCCGATGAATTGTCAAATGATGCCTTGTCCAACTCGAACCTAAAAGTTATTTTTATGTATCAACATTACATAGTATAAAACAAAGTCGCTGTCGCTGTCTGTCCTTATGTATGCTTAAATCTTTAAGACTACTTAAATGGTATTCAAGTACATATACATATCATCATCATCATCATCTGCTTCTTCCTTATCCCATTTATTTGTGGTCGTCGTAATATATTTTTCTCTTCCATTCATCCCTGTTCGCAGTTATCGCGTTATTTACTCCCTTTCTTACCATATCATCTTTCACACAGTCCATCCATCTCTTTTTCGGCCTTCCTCTGCCCTTATAACCATCCACATTCATATGTAACATGTATAATTAACTTACTATTTGCACATTTTGACCCACTCAACACTTCCTATGCCACGCTCTATTGGGTTGACTGGAAGAGATCTCTTATAGAGATAAGTCCTCCTTTGTTAACATTAGTTGTAATTAATATACTTACAAATGTATTTAAATGCAACTAAGAATATTTAAATGATTTTTAACCGGTTTTTTAATAGATAGAGTGATTCAAGAGGAAGGTTTATATATATAATACAGGTACACGCGTGCGAAGCCGGGGCGAGTAACTAGTAAAACATAAAATTCTCGTGTTATTGGTTTTGGATTCAGACTCCTCCAAAACGACTTGAGCGATTTTGATTAAATGTTATATTCAGTAAGTCTAAGAATAGGATTATAACTAATTTTTATACCCCTAAATGTTAAGGGTGGCTCACCCCAATATATTAACAATATACTCAATATAGACCATAATATTACTTTTTCGGGAAAAATATTTTTTTTTATTATGTGGTATTAAAAATACACACAACCCTAAATTTTCAGCTTTCTCTCACTAACCCCTATTTTTTTTATAACATTATTAATTTATATCTTACTTCCGATGGTAGCAGGTTCGATTCCTTGCATGGTACAAACATGAGTTTACAAGTATAATTGTTTGTATTACTCTGATTGTGTTCTATGTATATTGTGTATGCATTTTTACATATATTAAAAATATGTATCTATATATTTATATCAATTGTCTAGTACCCACAAGCTCTGCTTATCTTGAATCTAGATGGCGCTGTGCGAATTGTCCTAAGATGTTTACTCGTATTATTGGTGGTTTGTATTCACACACTTAAACTTAAAAATGTAAAGTTATAATAAAATTGTATAAAAGAACAACACGCAAATTTATTTCTCGTTCTTCTTGTGATGAGACAGCTTTCCGAATGAGCGGTAGATTAAAAAAATGTAATGACTATTCAAAAATGCTTCAATGTAAGTTTATTTGAATAAATTATTTTCTATTCTATTCTATTATTATTATTAATTATCATTAAATCACCTACAAAGAATATAACGTAAAATTAATTTGTCTCAAAATACTTCTTGTAATAACATTCGCAATAGATATTTGTAATAATAAATAAATAATAATAACCCAGAAAAATCTAAATCTATACATATAAATAAAATTGGAGTGTCTGTTTGTAATATTGAAATAATCGTTTTTTACTACATGCATATGAATATAAATCCTGTCAAAATCGGTCCAGCCTAAATCGGTATTTTGGTGTATGTACCGTATACACCAAAATAACATTTTTTACAAATTTTGTCAGTCTCTCTGTCTGTTTGTTCCGGATAATCTCTGAAATGGCTGGACCGATTTTGACAGGACTTTTTTTGGCAGATAGCTGGTGTAATAACTTATGCTACTTTTATTAAAAAAAACAAATAAATTTAAATTCCACGCGGACGAAGTTGCGGGAACAGCTAGTTCAAATTAAAATAAAGAGAGTGAAAAAAAAACAAGCAAAGGTTTTCATTAATAAAAAAATATAATCACCTGTAATAATTAAAACCATATTTCTCTTTAGTTTGTCTGTTAAACTGGAACGGAAGGATTCCACACGCTTGCTTCCTATATATGGGCATAATTTTTTCTGTATCGATGTCGGGTGGAAACATTATACCTTCATATGCGCCTTTGATTCGATTGCAGGGTGTACTAAAAAAAAAAACATTTTTTATGCAGGCAAACACGCTGACCATCCACTGGATGGTAAATGGTAATCGGCTATATACATCAACGGTAGAGGTCATCACATAACGTTCATATACGTGATGATCCAACTATCTCATAATATAGTTAAAAAACTCTAGCCGTGGTCACGAGCTGACTGGACTAACAGCGATGTCAATGTTGATAGGTATCGCCAGGTCGTTCAACTACCATCATTAGCAGGGCCGGATCGTGAATTTGTGGGGCCCTGGGCTAAATCTACTTACCATACCTATTACTCAACTAAAAAAAACTAACACGGACCAAAAACAAGCGACCAGAAATTCCCCGTTCCTTTCGATAGACAACGCACTTGCATGGGTTGATTGATCTCAGGGTTGCCAACCTTATGATAGGTTTTTTGACATTCTAGATATTTTTTATATTCTAAATGTCGTTTCAGTGGGGACTGGTCCTTCGCATCCCCGGGGCCCTGGGCTGCAGCCCAAAAAGCCCTTAGGACTTGTCCGGCGAAAAATCGCGACACACAGCACTCACGGTATCTGTACGCTTATTGACTGATGCTACCGAACACCTCCCCACGGGCCCACCCGTTCCACCCCGACCACACTTTTATACACACACACGACATCGTCCTCACCGGCGAAGACGACGACCTCAAACACACAATATCGCGCATTCAACCAGGCGTCTGCGCGCGCCCGGGCACTCAACACCGGTGACCCCGGGCGCCCCTCCGATCGATCCCCCGTCCAATCCAAACGGGGATCGAAATTACGACGGCCTGAGCCGAGGTTCGAACCCCTAGTGGTGCCCTTAGACTAAAGTCGTATCCGTCAGGCAGGAGTTGGCCTTCAGTCGCTCCATAAGTCCTTCCGCGGGCCCCTTTTTTTTTTTTTTTTTTTTTTTTTTTTTTTTTTTTTTTTTTTTTTTTTTTTTTTTTTTTTTTTTTTTTTTTTTTTTTTTTTTTTTTGGAGACATATTGTCCGTGCCTTTTTTAATTTACTTTAATATTATTATATTTATTTAATTTCCATTTTTGTACAACTCCAGCCTAACGTCCAGGTGAACCACCGCTGGCCGGCCGGGTGTGACAAATGCAGTGTCACCCATCTTTATTTGGAAGATTAGATTTATCAATATGCATATACAATTATATAAATCTTACACTACTACTAATTTCACAGTTTTCATTACAACAGCATTAACGTCCGGTGAAGCTGTAGTCCGCATTAGAGTAAAAAAAAAGCTACTGAACTTTGAATCAAACTGACTACCTTTCTGTCGTGATGACCTCTTTTTCTTTCTACTTCTAATACCTTCTGTGGGATATGCTTACCTGGTATTCAAATATTCGAAATCTCGTTCCCTAATGCCTTCTGAACCATCCCACTCGTTGATGGAGAATTTTCTGCTTACATCACCTAATTCTACTTCAACATTTTCATGTTTGTTAGCAAGTGCATACATCTGTAATATTTATATATTATCAGAAAAATTTGCATCACATAATATTCTTACATTTGTAAAATAAAAATACACTTATATTTAATATTATATACATATGTAAAGCTGGTAATGAACAGGTGCATCTTAATACTACTACTCTTGATTCAGAACGCAATAGTTTACTAAATATCTACTTATTTACAATATAGAAGTGGTCTTTAAACTGTTATTATATTAAACTGTATTTTATTATATTGTATATTAATATATATATATAATATATAATATTTTATTCTTAGCACTATGTTTACGATCCAATTGAGCTGGATACTTTAGTTGAGAAGAAACTCTTATGAAGAACTCTCTGATTATAATTAATACATTTTTTTATACTACGATGGTGGTAATCAAGCATATGGCCCATTTGATGGTTACTATAGCCTATGAACGCTTGAAACACCAGGGGTATCACGTGCGCGTTACCGACCCTTAAGAAACCTTAATATACCCTTCTTAAAAAACGTTATACTGTAGTCTCGTGAGAAAACCTCGGCAGGAAGTTCATTCCACAACCTAATTGTACTCAGATTTATATTATTTTGTTTAATTCTGCTACCATTAACATGTATGAGACTACAAAGTCCGCCGAAATCATTCCAATCATTATGTCGGTGAACGGTCTTATCCCAACCAGTCTGGAACAACATCTCAGACGGTTGGGATTCCGAGGCGGCTCACTCCCGGGAAAGATGCAGAAAGCGGTGCTGTTAGATTCTGCCCGCATTGTACGCCGGTTTCTCTCCCTGGGGCCCTGAACCCCGGCCGACTGTGATTCTGCCGGGGGTATGTTGCCATCTCCTCTCCTTAAGAGGGGAGATGAGAATTTTTGGGAAAAAAAAAATAATAATAATAAACTTTATTGGCCAATAAAACACTTTTACATTTAATACACAATACGGCGAACCACACACTAGACATGCAAGCCTGTATCGTGTTTAGAGGATATCACTAGACAGAATTGATATGTTAACAAGTAGTGGAATTAAACAAAATGATATAAATCCATTAAGTGATGAAATGGACTGCTACAAAACTATTATAACTCAATAATTCACGGTATTCTGAATGGCTTGTAAATTTCTATTGTAAATTTAATATACAAAATTTTTGCCCTACTTTTTAATTATTTTATTATAAAAGAAGACTTGTCTGTATATCATTACAGTATAAAACAACAATTATCTGTCGGGGGAAGGGAATTGTTAGTAATGTGGACTCATGACCCTATTACTAGCAATGTACCATATCAGGTTGATCTCCACGCGGTTCTCCCTAGAAACCATCGTGATAACTTCCTGGTGAATTTGTTATCTGACCTGACCTGACCTCGTGTTCATCTTATCATCCTCCACTGGTGCCCCGCCAGCGTAAACCGTTAGTGCAGGCGGGTGCACCATTCCATTATCATCCATAAAAAAACAACTGTCTGTCCGTCCCTATGTATGCTTAAATCTTTAAAACTACGCAACGGATTTTAAGGCGGTTTTTTTTAACAGAGTTATTCAAGAGAAAGGTTTATACGTATAATACATGTACAATTGTACACTCGTGCAAAAACGGGATGCGTGGCTAGTAATATACATAATACAATTAATAATACACACCCTATCTAAAATTCCAAGTCTATCAAAGTCAATCCAACCAGGCAGCAACTTGTTCACTATGGTTACAATATTGTCTTGATATCCCCAGAAGATTTCATCTGCTGTCATCTTCCGGAAGAGTTGGGACCCTAAGGTCTTTAAGGAGAAGTACGCACCAGCGTTTAGGAAATAGTTAAGTTTGTCTGCGAAAAGGGTACTCATCGCCTGAAAGAGAAGCATTGTCAACTGTAATATAAACATGTAATGAAGAAAAATACATGGACTAATGTGAGCTACATTACATATCACTAAATTAAGTACTGCTATATAAAAAGATATAAAACATTTATTTAAAAGACCAACAGACATGCAGATGCATTGCATTGAATGAAGATTTAAAAAAAAAGTACGGAAATATTAAGCAAAGAAATTTAAATAAGTGAGATTGAATAAGAATATGATTCCGCTTGTTCAACTCTAGAAGCGAGCTATTTTGACAGGCTTGGTAGTCTAGCGGTTAAGGGCACCGCTTTACTACCGAAGGCCGCGGCATCGATTTCTTGCATGGAACAATTATTTATACTCATGAGTATAATTGTTTGCAGTTGTCTAATTTTGCATCAGTTGTACAAATATTTTTTTCTGTAAATACATAATATACATAGAAACTAATGCAAACAATTATACTTATACATATATATAATTTCAGTTATATAACACAAGCATTGCACTGCTTAGCTAGTACACTGGTACAAGATGATGTTGTGTGAATTAAAAGTGTTGAAAAAAATGGTCCAAGATGGAATTTCCCCACAAAAAAATAACTCCGAATTTAGGCTTCAACTATAGAGTTACATTGAATAGAGAATTGAGTAATGCTTACAATGACTGCAATATTTGGCATATACAAATTAACGTCTTTGGTATCCGCTATGGAAGTTTCTAAATCGAACCGCATCTCAATATCTGGTGTCAAAGTCATCACACCTCGATCTGGGTCTACACTCATGTTCCTGTTTGTTCTCATCTCTCTGAAAATTAAAACATATATATAATAATAATCTCAGGACAATTCACACAGTGTCATCTAGACCCATGTTAAGCTAGCTAAAGCTTGTGTTATGGGTACTAGATAACTGATACATATACATAGAATTTTTTTTTAAAAAAATACATAATATACGTACAAAACACCCAGACAGATACAAACAGTCATACTCATGAATACAAATGTTTGTGCCGTGCGAGGAATCGAACCCGCGACCATCGGTCGTAAAGCGGTGTGCTTGACCGCCAGACCACCGAGGTCGTCAAATATATGTACACACACGCATAGTCATACTGATTTCAAAATCGAGCATATTTCCAATCACATTCCTATAATGTATATGTTTAAAATAGTTAGAGAAAATATCACAATATAATATATAATAAAAGGGATTCACATATCCTAAAAAAATCTTATTATATCATAAAGCTGATGGCAGATAGAAAGAGAAAAGAAAAAAAAACTAGCACGGTAAACTTTGTTTTGCCATATAATCTAAAACTTACCGGTATACGAACGGGCCTATTTCTTGTAACTTCAGTACTGTGTCCTCCCCTGAGAGGAACTCCTCGACATTAGTGTAGTTAAAAGCCCATACTTCTGTGGAGACATCATAAGGCGGACTCTCCCACATGTTGTACAGGAAAGAACCCTCTTCCATCGCTAAAAACTACAAAAAAATTCAGGTTAATTCAAATTCAAAATATCTTTATTCATCTATTACAGACTCTTATGATATGTCAAATCTATCGTTAGTTCGGAATGATTTCGAGATGAGAACTGACAAGAAACTCAGTTCGTATTCTTTTCAAATAAATGTTGTATATACAGATTCACTTTAAATTCACATTTGGGACAATAGAGTGATCTCCAGTATATGCTATTGTAAAGTTGTAGTAGGCTAAAAGTCTAATCAACGTTCGTAACCTGAACAGACCAGTCCCTACAAGAAGCACCCGTTGACGAGTATGACGGATAAGCCAGTCATCAACTCGGGAACTCAATAAGAATAAAACGCGGTAAGATCCCATGATTTTTCCTAATTATACGGTTATAATAAGGTTTCTTAAATGTATCTTCTTCATCTTCCACTGATCCCTAATATCCATCATACCTTGTAATAATATTTATATATAAGACATTAGTTTCAAATTTATCTATAATCATATTACGGCCTTCTAATGCTTCAATTTTGCGAATTGGCTAAAGTTATACATGTTTACCTATGAATCATAGGGTAAACCGGACAACTAGTTACAAAACATTGTTTATATATAATACATGTACACCCGTGCGAAGCCAAGACGAGTAGGTAGTGAATATATAGAATTAAGACGTGGTAATTTAGGTTGATTAACAAAGGTCACACTGTCCGCAAATTAGCCCTGAAGCCCCACGAAATGCTAATGTAATTAAAATTATAGATTTGTTTATAATCACTAGGTGACAAGACTCATTTTTTTTCCTCTACCTCTCGTATCGATATACAAAAAGGCTGCCGTTGTATGTTCATTTATATCTTTTAAATTACGCAACAAATTTAAAAAGGTTGTTAGCAATAGATAGAGTGATTCAAGAGGAATGTTTGTATGTATAATACATGCGTGTTCTATTGTAGAACAAGTTGAAAAATTGAAAGATTTGTAATGCGTCGGTGCGAAGCAGGGACGGGTCACGAGTAATAATGTTGTTTTAAAATAATTATTGACTTATATGTATTGTATGTAAGTATGTTAAACAATATGTATTATTAATAAATTTTATTTAGTTTGTATCGTACAAGCAACCGAACCCGCGACTGTCGGTAGTAAAGCGGTGTGCTGATCCGCTAGACCACTGAGGCCGTCAATAATATATCTTTTGTCTATTGTTTGGTCTAGTGTTTTGAGTAGTCATGCTCATTAAACTGTCCAGACTTGTGGCGGCGTGGTGGGCCGGGTCATTGGGCTCCCTAAAATATGGTCGAGCGCAATGATGGCAGGCTCATCCGTCATACTCGTGAACGGGTGCTGCTTATAGGGACTGGTCTGCTCTAATCACTATGACTGATTTCCTCTTATTAATTGTTTAACCAGTTGGTTATATATTCAATATTTTTTCTATTTGAGTATTTAATTGAATTAGTGCTAATTGGTGGTTTTTATTCAGACTAAGTGTCTGAATAAAAATTTAAAAGTTAAAGTTATAATAAAATTATTTAAAAGAGCAACACGCAAGTTTCTTGCTCGTTCTTCTTGTGACGAGACAGTTTTCCGAATGAGTGGTAGATTAATAAAATGTAATGACTATTCAAAAGTGCTTCAATGTAAGTTTATTTCAATAAATGATTTTCTATTCTATTCTATTCTATTCTCTTTATTTACAAATTGATTGTGTTTTCCTCAATCTATAAACTAGACGTAGTCTACTGATAATAGTTTTATATCGCAAAAGTCATTGGCAAATATGCGAAATTTTATATGCGATTAACCTTCTAATCTAGAGTTCATTACCAAGTCGTATCCGATGAACTTGATATTGAACAGTGGTTACGGAAGGCAGTTAAACTTTTAATATATACCTTCATTTGTGACACTAACAACATAATCAGAGGTCAAAGTTGACATTTGATTAATTTATGGTATTTTTGCGTTTGTGTACAATATGACTACGGATTATGGACACTAAATGAAATCAAATAAAATCAAAAATAATTTATTCATGTAGGACATTTTAGAAGAGGTGGCACCACTCTTACGATATTATACGAATATACGATATAATACGAACTGAGTAATGTTACACCCTGTAATACGTAAAAAAATGTTTGACCAGTTTAAAAAAAATGTCTCGGACGGGCTTATGTATAGGCGAAATAAAACATTCAAAATAAACTTTCTTTTTTAATATACATACATTACTACACACACACAGCTACACGCACCGGCTTCGCTCGCGTGTATATATTTTTTATATATAAACCTTCCTCTTGAATCTATCTATTAAAAAAACCGCTTCAAAATCCGTTGCGTAGTTTTAAAGATTTAAGCATACATATGGACAGACAGCGGCAGCGACTTTGTTTTATACGGTGTAATGATTTCTATTACTAACACGAATAATTTTATTTAGTTGACTAATCTAGTGACGGTAGATGAAAAAACTGCTGTCACCTATCTACATTGACATCGCTGTTACTCCAGTCAGCTCGTGACCACGGCTAGTGCAACCTAGTCGAAACGTCGAGAGAGGTAAATACCTTTATTTACCATAAAATGATTCGCGTTAAGACCCGGTTAGTAATATAAATAATACTTCAAAATAAATTCAAATGATTGCTAAAATGTATTGTAATGTAATGTAGATATGCTGAAAAATGTTCTCACAATGATTTGTACAAAAAAATACTTTTGTACCCAGTGATGCCGGCGTGATTACAATGAAAATACTTGATATTACGAAAAATATACAATTTTAGATTTCAGACGCGTCACAAACATTCTAAATGTCAGATATTTATAGATATATAATTTTAGCTATTGTTTTTGCCTATTTATTTTTACCTAATCTCTACATGTAATAAAACATTGATGTGTTGTCCGATTGTTTGTTGAATTATCAAGTAAAAACTTATGGTGGAATTAGTAATTAATTTTCATGGAATATTATTATTATTATTTATTTATTTCAGGCAACTAGGCCCATATATATATATATATGTATGTTAGTCTATAAGGTATTTAGAACCTTATAGACTAACATACATATGAAATAATATTTTGAAACTACACACACAATATTGTCTGTATGGTCACGGAACTGACGACGGCAATCTACCACGGTAGCACCGATACACCACACCCTTCGGTCAGTAGTCCTCCTTCATGAAGGTGGGCACCATGTTGGTGGAAACTCAGGCCAATATAATATATAATATAATATGCTATTAAAGTGGCACCGATGTCGGAGAAGTTAAAGAGTAATCGTCTATCGTGGTATGGACAGGTAATGTGTAGGAATGAAGATCATATCCTAAGGATGGTGTTACATATGAATGTGGATGGTTATAAGGGCAGAGGAAGACCAAAAAAGAGATGGGTGGACTGTGTGAAAGATGATATGGTGAGAAAGGGAGTAAATAATGGGATGACTGCGAACAGAGATGAATGGAAGAGAAAAACATATTACGTCGACCACAAATAAATGGGATAAGGAAGAAGCAGATGATGAATATGGATGAAGATGTAGGATAAAGAAAGCTGAATAAAATATACCTCAAAGGGATAATATATTTTATATGTATGATTTTAATGTTTGTTGTTCTTTTTCCAAATGTATACAAAACTCTGTTCGCCCTATAGAGTTCTCAAGGCTTAACTCGGTCGTATAATTTATGCATTTTTTTATGGATGGTGCAAGTGCACTATCCATAAAAAAATGCAAAAATTATACGGCAAGTGCCTGCGCTAACGGTTTACGCTGGCTGGGAACAAGTGGAGGACGATAAGATGAGCATGAGGTCAAGTCAGTTAGCTCATTATGACATATTCCCCGGGAATTTATCACGATGTTTTCCAGGGGAAACTATGTCGAGTTCAACTCGACATGGTACATTGCTAGCAGCAGGGTCAAAAGTCCACATTACTAACTATCCCTTACGCAGTATATTTGTGTATTAAAATTGAAATAAATAAATAAATAAGCGCCAAAAGTCACGGCTACCACTAGTACAACAATGGCTAAATATAGTTAATTGTATTTACTGAAAGTGTATGTTTTTATGACTTCGATTTACGTAAAACCTTATAACTTGTTATTTGCATTTATAGACATGGAAAATTCGGAAAGGTCGAAAAGTTCTCCTTTTATATAATTGATGATATTATATTAAAAGAAAAACAAGCTGACGGCCCACCTGATGGTAAATGGTAACCGTCGTCTATACATGAACAGCACTATCACGTTATCATGTGACGTGATACCACTCACGCGTCGGGAAAAAGCGATTGATTTTTTTTTCATGGATTATAATAGAATGGTCAGTCAGTGCAATTATAGGAAAATGACTGTCAGTAACGACGAGGTTTATGCTTTTATTTTTAATATATGACAGTGGAATGCTGCACCCGCCTGCGCTAACGGTTTACGCTGGCGGGGCACCAGTGGAGGATGATAAGTGAATTTATCACGATGGGCTAACTGACCTGATATCATGACCTTCCTCTGGAAACCAACGTGACAAATTCCTAGTGAATTTATCACGATGGTTTCCAGAGGGAATCACGTGGAAGTCAACCTGACATGTTATATTGCTAGTAATGGGGTTATGAGTCCATTACTAACAATCCCCTTTCCCCCAATGTGGACTGATTAGCCCATTGCTAGCAATGTTCTACCTCAGGTTGACCTCCACGCGTCATCATGATAAATTCCTGGTGAATTTGTCATTATGGGCTATAAAGATAAATCAAACTATAGGAATACATAGACATACATAAATATGTATAACTAGCTGTTCCCGCAACTTCATCCGCGTGGAATTTAACACTATTTTTCTAAAAAAAAAGTACCCAAAGTTACTCCTTACTACTTTTTTTTTTTGGCAGATAGCTGATGTCTATCTGCCAGAAAAAGTCTCATCAAAATCGGTCGAGCCATTTCAGAGATTAGCCGGAACAAACGGACCGACAG